GCTCACTGGCTGAGCGAGGTGCGGGCGCAACACCGAGGGTTGGATCCCGTTGCCGGTCCCGGTCCGGTACGGGCGCGACACTGAGGGTTGCGATCCGTTGCCGGTCACGAAAAAAGATAAAAAGGAAAAAAATAAATAAATAAAATAAAAATAAGAGCCAAGCTAGATTTAGACAGTCGTGGAGCAGGACAAGCCCAGGTTTGGAGCCAGACGGGCCTGAGTTTTCATCCCGGCTCGGCTACTTTCTTTCACTAGGGCACTCCCAAATAGTAACTTAACCTTTCTCAAGTTTTTTCATCTGTAGAATGGAAGGAAGTGGTGTTGAGGTTGTGAACGTGTGGAAGGATCTAACCCTTGGATGGTTCTAGGTAATATTCTTTAAATCTCAGTCTGTTGTGATATTGCTAGATCTTGGAAATTTACTTTCATTCTCTAAGCCTCACTTCCCATACCTATAAACCAAAGAAAGGGAACTCTCTTTTTTACTGAGCACCTTCTACATGCACTGGTCACTTTACTGTACATTATTTCACTTAGTCCTTACAACAATTCCATGAGACATGTATTACCATCACCATTTTAAAGATGAGAAAAGAGACTAAGAGATTAAATAACTTTTCCAATCCACATAGTGACAGAACCAAGGTTTGGACCAGATTCTGACCAGCTCCAAAGCTCTACACTGTCTCTGTATTTCAAAGGGAGGTCAGCACCATATTATTTCAGGACCCAGCTCAGTGCTAAATACACAGTGGGCCTTCGACAAATACTCCATTGTTTTACTTTAGGTGCATGTCATACCTCTTTAAGTGAACTATGAGCTCCTCCAGCGAATAATTGATTTCTTGCATCCCCAGTGAGTGCCTTGCAAATTGCCAGGCACAAAGCAAAGGCCATAATGAATGAATAAATATATAGATCAACAGAAAACAAATAAATACGATTCCCTGAATTATAGACAGTAGCCAATTGTGCAGGATATGATAACCTAGCCGTCTGAAAATATTTTAGAATTACAGATTGAGCAGCCTAAAAAAAGCAATAATATTTATGATTGTCATTGGCATATACAAGTTGATTTCACCTCTTTTGTCTCATTTGGTCCTTGCCACTGCCTTAGTTGAAAATCAAGGCAATGACTGATCATCCTCCCCACTTGAAAGATTAAAAGATAGAGGCTGAGAGGCTTTAGTGGCATATGATGCTGTCCTTTCCCACCCAGAGGGCATACAGCCTCTATTCATATACTTCCGGGGACAGGAAAATCACTAGCAGGTCCCATTCTCTGGGTGAAGACTTTGGAGACCCAGAAGGATTGAGACCTATTGCTCTTTCAACCCCACATTTAGGTTCCAGGACTGTCAGAGCTGACCTAACCAACTCCATCCCAGAACCAGTGGGGTAACTGAGGTTTTATGGGTTGGGATTCACACAAACTGCACTTGTATTAATATGACCTGAGTCAGCTTCTGCTGTGGCATTGTGCTGTTGTTTCATGATGAACATGGAGGCAGCTCTGACCCTCAGGTCTTCTGCCTTAGCTTGAGGGTGAGGTACATCCCTGGCACTCACCACAGGGCTTGGCGCATACTAAGTGCTCTGTAAGCAGTGGCTGAAAGAATGACTAAGCATGGAAGGGAAGGAAAGGGTTGAGGCTGGGCTGAGGTTGGGGTTGGGGTGAGGATTAAGGTTTGAGGTTGAAGTCTGAATGTAGGTCTAGATAATATTTGGAGTCAGGATGTGAGATTAGAGCTGAAGTGGGACTGCAGGCAGGATGGAGGAGGAAATTGAGGCTGAGGATAGAATGGGAACTGGGATCATTATTCATGAGTGGGTGAAGTCAGGGATGAGGGTGGTATTGACATTAGGAAGGGGATCCTGGTGAGCACTTGGATGAGGATTGGGGTGGAGTTTGGGTTTCCTGTGAATGTTTGAGGATGGAAGTTTACTGTTAGGATGGGGGTTGGTATGTGATCTGGGCTGGGTTGAGGGTGGTGGTAGAATGAAGTTGGAGTGGGAATAGAGTGAGGGTTGTTTTGGGGTAGAGTTAAGGCGAGGATCAAGCATGGATTTATATGATGGTTGGGGTCAGGACGAGGGAACAGAGCTAAGATGGTGTTTCAGGGGGAGGTTGGGTTGGTGATAAGGTGAGAGTAAAGGTCGGTATTGGGCATGGGGGGGTAGGGCTGGTATGGGGGGGTTGGTGCTGATGTTCATGTGGGCACTTGGATGAAGGTTGAGGCTCAGCCGGAGCTGGGCCGAGGCTGAGACGAGGGGGCCAAGACCCCTGCGGGGTTCAAGGTGGGGTTAGGGCCAGGGCCGGTACCTGAGCCACCACATGTAGCTGTGCTCGTAGGGGAAGAAGCTGTGCGGGTCGTCGCAGCAGTACTTGTGGTCGCGGAAGCCGCAGCAGAAGACGGCGGCCGCCTCGCCCCCCGGCCGCGGGCAGCTGAAACCGCGCACCACCTCCTGCTCCGCGCTCACGTAGCTCGTGCAGGCACCGCTCATCGCGCCCCGCGCCCGGCCCGCCGCCACCTCGGGCCACCAGACGGCTGGCGACAGGGGATGGATCATGGGATCAGGGCTCAAGCCCAATTCTACCCCTTCTCCACTTTTTCTCTCTGCACTCCAGGCTCCTTGTCTCCATCCAGGCCAGCCCCTTAGATGCTGATGTGTGCCATGTCCCTGACCTGTGCACTGAGGCCCCTGAGAGGGGTCAGATCTGGGTCTGCCCTTGAGAAACACACAGTATGGTGGAGGAGTCAGACAGACAGATGCTCACAGAATCTGCTGTACCGTACATCCGCCTTCCGCCGCCACCTCGGGCCACCAGACGGCTGGCGACAGGAGGGCCGGGAGAGCGAGGGACTGGCCGAGACGGCAGAGAGCCTGAGAAGGAGACGGAGAGACAGAGGGGCAGAGAGAAGCAGCGACAGAGACACACACAGACTGAGAAAGACGCAGCGCCGGGCCCGGGGACGCAGCGGTTAAGACCTAGAGCCCCCGAGGACGGAGTGGCTACCAGGTACGCTGACAAGGCGCGGCGGGAGGGGAGATGCAGGAGGCAGAGGAGCGGGAGGAGGAGGGCGGAGGAGCGGTGGGAGTGGAGAGCGGCGGGAAAGGGGCGGGAGCCGGAGCCCGAGCGCGGGCGCGGGCGCGGGGTGGGGGCG